TGAGATTGGGACCCAAGTTTAAGAAGCAGTGCTCTAAAAAGACCCCATAGATAGACCATTGGGTCCTATCCATTCATTTCAAGAAGCCAGTCATAGCATCCCTAACAGGCTAGCATCCAGTCTCTTTTTGAAGACGTCCAGAGAAAAAGATCTTACTTCATCTCAGGATAATTGGTTCCACTGCCAATCCACTCTTACCATCAAGAAATTCCTTCAAATGTTCGTTTGCAATCAGCCTTTCTGTAATTGCAAAACACTAGTCCTCATCCTACTCTTTGGTGTGTGATGAATGAATTGAATGGAGTGTATGTTTGGGATCTGGCTGGGACCTATTAATGTCTGGCAAGGCTGAAGATGTCATCCTAAAAATGGAACCTGGAAAACTACATTATGAAAAACAAAGGTGGTGAAGAATTTTATGAATTATGACAAGAAAGATGCTGGTGACAACTGAAAACTCTGAGTGCAAACAACACATGTTTATGTAGTCAATAACAATAGCTTTTTAAATGAAAGAAGTTAAACAACATATCTGTTCCAGAATTGATGGGGCTCTTTCAGGTCTGAGCTGAATGACAAAGGTTATCTAAACAACCAAATAATGGATAACCAAAAGCTTTAGATAAGAAGACCCTCTTCATTTTTGACAGTGTGCCAGATCTACAGGGATGCAGCTCTGTCCAGCTGCCTCTCGTCTCCCAGCAGCAGGCCTGAATGGAGAAGAGATGGTGAGTATGAATGTTGAATGTATGTGAGTGAACAATGAGTAAATGTGACATTTCCCTTTTGTCTATGTAATCAATGTAGCTATTATAAAACCAGTACTGAGGTCTGTGTGTCTGCTTGTTTCTCTGAAAGTGCCTGATGTCGACCCCCCCCCCCCCAGGAGATAGGGCAGATTATAAAGTATTATTGTTGTTGTTGTTATTGTTATTATGATGATGATGTACTCTGTCCCAATTAAAACGGATCAAAGAACATTTTTAAAGTTCAAAAAGTATTCATGACAGGGGCACCAGAGTTAAAGGTTTGATCCAAAAGGTTTTGTTCTTGTGACTTGGTCTCTGTTGAAACACGTTATCGTTGGGTTGCTGAGTTTTACAGGCTGCATGGACCAGAAAACTCACAGCAACCCAGTGATTCCAGCCCTGAAAGCCTTCGACAACACACTGCATCATTCTTTGTTTGCCTCAAATATGATAATATACGGATGAAATACAAGAATACCATTTTTTCACAGTGTTCTCAATGGCAAGGGTGTTATAATATTCCATATCTTCTGAACAATTCTAATGCATTGTTTTGTGAGGCTATTGCAAATTTTATACTTGTGATTAGTAACTTTTAAGTATTTTTTTTAATCTGTGACTTCCTCTTGTTGTATATACCTGTGATATATGCAATTTTTGTTGTATGCCAATAAAGCCTCTCTGTGTGTGTGACCAGAGAGAAAAATCCACATTCTCCTCTTGGTTTTTAAGAATGTTGTTGATTATACTTCTTTGATATTGCAGTTCTTTCATTATGTGTAATTCCTGTACAACTTAGTTTCTTGGAGTTTGGACAGTGCTATGAGTAATTATTGGAAAATATTACCTGTTCTTCATTCCCAATGATGATTTTTAAAAACGGTTTCATAGTTCTGGAGATAGTAAATTAGTTCTACAGCTTTTTAGCAAAATTTGTTCAAGCTCTTATCTATTATAGTTACAGTTTTTTGTGATACTTTAGTCTGTGTAACATTTTAATTGCTAAAGGATATATGTTTTGAAGACTTGATAAAGGTTTGGTTTTGCAATTTATAAGCTCATGACCATTACACCTTTACATTAGTCAAGTTTATTCAACCCCTGTATTACAAGTGCAGCTTTTTAGTAAAGTTTGTCCAACATCTCAGCATACTGGTTTGATGTCTATTGGACAATATTTTTGATAACTTTTGTTTGTATTATTGACTTTAAACCTCATATTAACACTAAATTTACTTTACGATAATCGCCTGTTGCCTTTGGAATATTGTATATATTACATTCAATTTCATAATGTCATTAGTTGTACACAGCATGTGCTTAAGTTACATTGTTTACTTATTGATTTAGGTGGTTTGAGTTTAGAATTTTCTTAATTTGTATATAATTATTTTCATAATATCATCGTATTTACATTTATTTCCCAATTTTGTTGGATTACCTACCCAGCACACCCCACCCGTTGCTGTTTTAATAGTACTCTTGTTTGCCTCCTTGCTTGACTCCTGAAAATTTCACAATATCTGATTCTAACACACCAAGTGCCGCTGGTGGGAATGAGAGAGAGGACCTTCTCTGTGACTGCTCCCCATCTCTGGAACTTCCTCCTTAAAGAAGTAAAAATGGCCTCTTCCCTCCTCTCCTTTAAAAAAGCTATTAAAACTTATCTATGCAATTTAGCTTACGGAGAGAATTAAGCTGCTAATATCCACCCTATTAACCTGTGGTTCACCATTCCACACCCCCCCCCCAACAATTTTAGCCTAATTTTAGATATTTTAATAAGATTTTAAGGACTCAATATGTTTGTAATTGTGTGAATTGTGTCACATCTGGTTTACTTAAGTTGTTTTATAATTTTATGGAGTTGTTTTTGATTTGTTTATATATTAATATTGGCATTGAATGTTTGTCACTGTATTTTGTTGTCAGCCGCCCTGAGTCCCTTTAGGGAGATAGGATGGTCTATAAATAAAGATTCATTCATTTGCAAAGTGAGCCCAAGGCTGCTTTTCTTCCAGTTCGATTAGCAGCCGGGGTCGGAACTCCATGGATCTCCAGACCATGCTAATGTTTAGCCTTCACTTCTCTTACCTCCATGTCTGTGTCCAGATATTAGACAATTTTACTGGTGTGATGTTGGAAAACCTTGTACCAGACCACATAATTCATTTGGTCAAAGTCCTTCCAATGTTGAACAAAGTATAGAAGGTAACTTCAAAATAGCACCAGTATTTGCTGAATGGCATACAACTAATTAGTTCTTGATTTTGTAACCTTTAATTTGTGGAATTTCATGTAACCTTCAGACAAACAAATGGAAACATCTCAATATCTGACTTGTCCAGTTGCTGCTGTTACAAAACACTTAACACTTTGGTTCATACTGATTAAATAATATTAATCTCAGGGTTCACTGTGGGTTATACTTTCCGGTCAATGGATGGAATGAATCAAGTTCTATCAGAAAATGACACATTCAATCAAATCTTCATAAATTATACATTTTTATTTTGCTAGGGCATGATCCAATCAAGTTGCACACACTTTAGTGTCAGTCTGAAGGGGAAAAGCTTAATGTGTTTCCATGTAATCTTGTTTGCTTAATCGGTGAGTCTTCCAAGTGCCTGTACCCCAACTTTGTTCAAACAACATAGAAAAATACTGAGTGATAGTTTGGTTAAAAGTAGTATCTTAAAATAATTCCTGTAGAAAAATAGCTGAGTGAAATTGAATTGAATGGTACAGCATTTAATTGAAATGCAAATTTGGAAATTTTGATCACTGTGCTACAATGTGAAAATCCATTTCCCTGCCAAGACTGACAAAGATCCAATATATTCAGAGTTTGATATAATTTCATTCTGCAATTGCACTTGATCACAGGCAAGCTTCTAATTTTGAATATCCATTTTGTTTTCTTAATAGAAGCCATGGGCTGAGCAAGGAAATGGTGGGTGTCACCCTGCAATGGCAGAATATTCAGACCATGCCCTAGTAGATTTGAGTGTAAACAGCAGCTCAGGACTTACTTATATCAGGTAGAATTCAGAATTTTAATGAGCACAGGGCTCAGACTAAGTATTTTCACTAACAGAACTGAGTTCACACATAGTACTTCTCCCATTTTTTTAAATTCCATCAGCCTAATTTATGTGGGAATAAGTCACATTGTTATTCCTTTTTCTAAACACATAAGAATCAAAACCTAGAAATCAACCAATAGATTAAAAATTGCTTCACTTCTACCCATTTGAACACAGTAAGGTTTTCAAGTAATGGTCTGAAATACTGATTTCCATACTGAAATTTTAGCAGTGAAACTAATATTTGGATTTGATGTCTACAAAAACTCCTATTGTTTTCTCCACTCTAGAGTTCACATCTTTTGATGAAAATAGGGTAGAATAACACCTGAGGACAATGGCGGGACAACTGATGGTCCAGGAATGCAAGAAATTCCCACTGAAAAATTTGTTAGGAGATGGTACTCTCAAAAGCAGCATAGCCTTATTTGCACAGTAACCAGTTTTCAGATGTCCTTCAAGAATGCTCAAAGCAGCAAGCAGCTATGCAAAGAGTGGAACTCCTAGCCATTAAGAGTTTCTGGATCTTAGAGATTCAAATTTCATTCTTGGAGGAAAACATAATTTTACCATTTCTCTCCTTGATGAAGAAAGTTATTTGAAAATTACAGTTATCAGAGTCTATTTACATTTCTAGATTTACTACAAAAAATGAACAAAACATATTTTCTGTGTAAGGAACAACATTTTGTTTTCTGCGCAGAACGTATCTTCTGCATAAAAAAGAGCACACGTAATTTTTTTCAAAGTTAAATGCTGAACTCTGAAGATTCTCATACATTTGGGCTGTTCCATGTCAGAGTTTCCAGACCTTGAAGATACATATTGCGAACATTTTTGAAGTATCATTCCATCTGAAATGAAGCATTCAGAATCCCGCATATGATCCACACTTTATAAATTTGATGGATGGTTTAGGAGTGGCCAAGATTTCTGAGATAAGATGATATAAGGCAACTATACATTCAGGTACTTTCCCAGTTCCAGAATGTCTAGGATCTCTCCTCTACCAAAATAATAGAGAAATCCAAAGTACTAAATGCATCCATTAATATCATGACAAATACTAGAATCTTCCAAAGGTTCATCCTTTAATTTTTGCTTTCCTTACTCAATCAATGAGTTAGTGTCTTATCTTTCCCCAATGAAACAGTCAGATGCTAACTAATGTAAACATTATCTCTTCATTTTATTTAATCAGCAAAATGGTGTTCATTTAACATAAATGACAACATTGCAGTTGGTACACAGAGATAAAGTCACTATTCCAGGTGCATTTCCCATCTTGAAAGTATGAAATCAGAAGAAAATTGAGTCCAGGCAAGATTATTTGAAGGTGCTTTTTGAAAGTGACTTTTCCCTTTTATAAAATGAAATCAAAGCACTTTTCACATCAGCATTAATTGCAGCACATCATGATGAGAATGGCCCAAAATGCTTCATTCCCTAGGGCTAGCAACATCAAGATCCCAGTAGTCTTCCAAATCTATTAGCAGCACAAACAAAACACAGTTTGCATGTATACATGAGTTGATTTGAATACATAAAAAGTTAAAATCACCATGCTCTTGGTATTGTTTTTCCCCACCACTGGTTCCAAAGCCAGTCAAAATATCCTACTAACAGGAAAAAAAAATAGGCAAGCTGGGTTAATACTAATTAAGTGAGATTCCTTCATGCTGGAAACCAATATATGTGAAGGGGAAATTGCACAAAATCAACATGGCTAGTGTCCGTGGGAAGAAAAAAAATGGTAGTATTCATATTGCACTCTTATTCCAGGCAAGTTTCTGTTGGTGGGAAAACATTCATCCTGACTTTCCAGCTCTGGGCACATGGCACATATGAACCTTAATGAATATCTGGGTGTTGTAGTCTGAATTAAATAAATATTGCAGCTGAATCTGGGTTAATACATTATATTTCACCTGTTTCCTTTGGCAGTTTCAGTTATTTTTCCACAAACTGGTGAGTTACATTTTTGTTGTAAATCAAGAGACTGAAAGACTATTGTTATTTCCTTGCATTCTTTATTGCAGTGGTTCTCAACCTGTGGGTCCCCAGGTGTTTTCGCTTACAACTCCCAGAAATCCCAACCAGTTTACCAGCTATTAGGATTTCTGAGAGTTGAAGACCAAATCATCTGGGGAACCACAGGTTGAGAACAACTGGCTTACTGTGTTGTGAATGCATAACCATGTAGCATCTCCTGACCCATCCAAAACTTATCTTAACAGCCAGCTGACTATGTGATGGAGATCTGTTCATCTAGTGATGAAGATGACTTTTCCAGTCTCCTCTCACCAGCAAGTGAATCTCAATGAGGAATTGCTACAGGAGTCTTGCTGCTGATGGACACAGCCTCACTCACGGGAAAGAAGAGCTGGAAATGGCATCCTACCACACCCCATTCACTATTGCTTGATGGAGCTGCTGGCTATTGAAATGGGTTAGGGAGGGGAACATTTATGATTGTAGTAATACTGCCCACAATCACAAACACATAGTTCTGCTGAATACAGGGCAGGGAATACTGGGAATACAGTTATGGACCAGTAACTGTAGAATATCAATCTGCAAAAGCAATACAGAATGCCATATTTTTATATTTCATCTTGGTAAGCAGCAGCAAAAAAATATGTAGGCTCAGTGCACTAGAAAAGTATTTGGTAAAAGCAAGTAAAGTGCAGCCCCTTCTCTAAGTTTCCTAAGCCACCTGTTCGCAAATACAACAGACCATGGACAGTAAGTCATGGCATCATTTTTAAAGTGCAGAATTCTCTTTGCCATATAGGAATCATTCATATGAGTGTGTAAAACATAGGATATATTGAGTTTAATTATTCAAAGATAAGGTGAAAAGGTAACACAGCAGGATAAACACATATCAAATCAACTCCATTTATATATTTTAAAAGTGCTCATTTCCACAAAGTGCACATTGAATCTTTTTCAATAAGCTATATTTCCATAATTTTCCTTTTTTCTTTTTTTGGTCTGAATTACATGTTGACATTGAATGTAAGTTGCAAGGATGAAAATGGGGATACACATCCAATATTAACATTTCTGACAATGAAAGTGGTGGATAAAGCAAGAGTTTAAATCATTTATATTTTCTAAGGCTTTGGTCCTCATTTGAGGTGTTTAGTGACAGATCCTTGGCTACATCAGTACAATTCTCTTGGCTGTGTCTTGTGACTAATAATGTCAGTGTCTTCTGCCTTGCCTACAAAATTATGAATGGCCTAAGAGTAGTTATTCTAAAAGTGTCTATCAAAAACGGGAAAGGTTCTAATGCAGAGGTTCTCAACCTGGGCCCCCCAGGTGTTTTGGCCTACAACTCCCAGAAATCCCAGCCAGTTTACCAGCTGTTAGGATTTCTGGGAGTTGAAGGCCAAAAACATCTGGGGACCCCAAGTTGAGAACCACTGCTCTAAGGCATCCTTACAAAGATGCTCTATCCAAGCTGGGATGTGCTGTGTTAAATTATTTATTCCCACAAGACAGAATGAATAATTCAATACATTTCCTCCCCACTTCTAGAGGTCTTCAAAAAGTATTCAATTAAAAAAAAATCTCATGGGGGGATTCTTTGAGGAGGGAAGAGGGGAAGTTGATTCAGGCCACTGTACACTGAGTCTTTATTGAGAAGCCCTTTTCTCATTTCCCTCCTCAAATCTTCAAATATTATTGACATCCCTAGCCTTAGACTTGTACATTTGTACTCCCTGAAGTGTGGCTGTAGTACCCAATAACAATACAGAGATTTTTCCCTAATATTACAATGAAACAGCTAGGACAATAGCATTATTCTAATTTTCATTGTACAGTGAGAGGGGTAAACTGAAATTAAAATGTGATATTCTGTCTAAAGATGCCTGCTGAGTTGAGCTTTTAAAATACTTTTATCACATATATTAAATATGTAAACACATTCATTTATGAAAATATAGAATACATCTAACACCACCACAAAACACAGCAAGATAAAAGTAAGCAGAAAGACAAAAAAATAGCACTATCTGATATCCCATTACAAAAACTACCACCTGAGCTCACCCTTTTCTCCCATCCAAAAGGCTGATTTCCCATTTGACAGGAAAACAACATTTGTTATCTTTTAATTGTTCCTTTCATATATTATTTTCTTAGAATCTCATCTTTTACTATTAAAAACCTACAGGCATCACCTTCTTTTTCTCTTGGGACCTCATCAGACGCAAGTCCTCCCCCGTTTCCACACACTTCTAAGACATTTCAGGGATGAAGTGCCACAGGACTCTCCCCATGATGTAAAACTACTTCCGGTTGTCATCCACTGCCTCTTATCCCTGAAATGTAGCCCAAGTGTATTTAAACAGGAAAAAGAGGAGGGAAACACATGGGATGGGATCTGTTAGATTCCCCCATGTCATTTTGGTTCAGTGATGTGGAACAATGGACATTCCTACGGGCAGACTCCTAGCAAGAATTGATATTTCTCTCCCAAAATCCTGCTTCATGAGCCTGGCAGGGTAATTGTTAAAATTAATTAAATCATTAGAAATATTGAAATGTCAAGATATCACCACTTTGTTTTTCCTGTTATTTCTCCTTCATAGTAATGTTGGCTTTCAAACATGTTGGACTTCTGCAATTGAGAGTAATGCAATTGGGAGGTGAGAAGAGGAGCACAGAGAAGGCTTGTCAGCTTTTAGAAAGATGCCTCTTGTCTCTTCAAGAGTAAGGGCATTGGGAGGACGAGCAGGTGAGGCCCATGGAGAGGAAAGGTGTCTGCCTTAAGAACGATGCCTCCTATTTGCTCCATAGTAAGGAAGGACAGATCATGGTATAAGGGATTCAAACAGTGCTGGACTACTCCAGGGCAGCAAGATTTGGGAAGAAGTGATTGTGACAAAAGGAGTTAAAATAGCACTGGACTAATCCAAGGCAGCAAGGCATGGGAGAGCAGATCGTGACAAAAGGGGTTAAAATAGTACTGCACTAATCCAGGGCAACAAGGCATGGGAAGAGCTGATTGTGACAAAAGGGGATAAAATAGTGCTGGATTTCAAAGTTTTCCCTGATTAAAAAAAAGAAGAATGTGGAGTGGGTGCTGACTGCACTTGCTAGTGTGATGGTTCAAAATGCAGAACAGAATGGGAGAAGGCTAGAGAACATAAAGCGTCAGATGGGATTTGTAAACAATGTCTTTTAAAATGGAAGCGGATTATACGCTTTGTTAAGAAGATCATCCCTGTCCCCATCCTCTCCAAGCTTTCTGTAATATGTCTGATGAAGTCCTTGGTATCAAATATAATGTAAGGCTGAGATAAACTTTGAACGATGGACATTCATTGCTGATATCCCTATTTGCTATGCACCACAACAATTTAAAATAAATTGCACTTTAGACTGAAGAGCAAAGATGTAAATGGAGGAGAAAGCAGGAGGTACATCTCTCTCCATAACAGTGAAGATGAAATTGTACCATTCTAAATAAGGTTCTTCCTATAATTCCTGACACATTACTCTTCTTCCCCATGATTCAGGGTGTTTAGTTCCAGAAAATATTTGTCCAAGTTCTGAGAAACATGGCTACTCCAGGAGGGAAAGGAAGGCTTTTCCCCAGAGGAATTCTTATAACATTGCATGCTCAGCTATGATCTTACGGAATGAAAGACAGAATGCTTCTTGGGGGAGTTGAGGCTACACTACAAAATAATGCAGTTTGAACTGCATTATACGCTCAACATAGATGCCCACAATGCAGTTCAAACTGCATCACATGAGTCTACACTGACCATATAATGCAGTGTATGACGACTCTGCCAGAGCTTCAGAGTGTCACGCTAGCATGTTGTGTCCAAATTTATGTATATAAATCTGGGATAAACTAAGATTTCTCTGCCCTTCCTCCCCATGGCATCCCCTCCACCCCCATAAAAATGCTACACAGAGAATCAGGGTTCTACACTAAATGAAGTGAAAAGGTGGAAACCTGAAAACCAGGTAGAGACACCTTTAACAAAGAGATCAGTTCAGCCACCTGTTGGCATGAAACCTAACCAAGTGTGTTTAAATTTCTGCATCACAACCAACTATTTCTTAAAAGATTCTAATATCTAAGGGTTTAATTAGATCTGGAATCAGTATGGCATTTCTGTAGCTCAAAATTCCAGCTCTATCAACAAGTATTTCACATTCCAACTTTATTTTAAAAATATGTTTCCAACTTGTTCTTTTTTTAAAAAAATCTAATAGCATAAAATAACTGAGTTTTATACAATGTTTTACATTTTTAATACTAGAAGAAATACATTTGCACCCACAGCACTGGTTCAGTTTTAAATAGAAGAAAATTGGGCCTTCTCTTTTTGCTATAAATTGGGTCCCCTCTGCACAAAGAACTATGGTAACTATCAGAATGAGTTGTAAAGGGCAAGTAAAATAAATTAGCATGCTACTTAATTATTTCCGAAAGCACAGCTCTTGCACTCAATTAGATGCTGCATGCAAATGCAGACATCATTATCCTGAGACTCTTGAATCTAAAAAAGGCTATTTCCAGAGAGACAATTCAAAGCAGCAAGCTAAAACATTTTCTGGTTGCTTGCATGCTCCAAATCTTTCCCTCTCCAGCTGCTTTCCTTCTGTGTGTTTAAATTAAAGAAAGGAAGTACTTAAAACTCCCAAAAAGAAAGGAAAAGAAGCACTGGGGAAAGAGTTTGCAAAGCAGAAAAGTAGCAAAGGGTTAAACACTAGGGTGAAGTGGTATCTAATTTGGTCCTTCAAACTTGATTCAGGTGAACACTAGTAAAACAACACAGTTTTGCAGCTAAATTTATTTTTTAAGGGTACTACTGCTCAAGTAAACATATCTTGTTCACAACAGTTTTTCGATTGTAAGAGCTCATTAAATTGGTCCTAGGCTATGCAGTGTGTCCTGAAACTGCATCAGAAATAGCCCAAAATATTTTATGCCTAAAATACTATTCTCAAACTCCCATGGGAGCAATGGTATTGTAAATAGCTGACCACTTGCTGCCTTTTAATGATACATAAAAATTTGCTGTTTGGGAAAGATTTTTCCCCGCTGGCCTCATAACCAGCCTTGGTCTACTGCTCTAGATTAGAATGAAGCAATTACTTAGATTGAAAGCCATGTTGAAACTCAGCCCTGTATGAATGTGTTTTCTGCTGTGAATGTTTATTGAAGCAACATTTACATTCACAAGCATTGCTAAGAATATGGCAGTGCTTAAATTCACAGTTAGCCATGCTTGTTAAAGAGAAGTCGTCAAACAGAATATGATTTCTACACTGGCCTTTCAACTTCCAAGGAGGAATGAAACAAATGTTATCAAAGTGCAAGAAATTGTTAAAAGGACTGGGATAATACTACATCACTGCTGCATATTATCTGGTTTTCCTGTTCTCCCCCTCCCCTAATAATCCCTGAGTACTTGCTGTTGTCATCCAAAAGCTCTCACTTTTACTAACAACAATACTGAAGCCATATTTATCAGCAGTGATAGGTAATCAAAGGACTGCAGTACCACTGGGGTATCACATAACCTCTATGCAGGTAAGGGTCAAATAAGGAAGGGGTGAGGACATCAACAACACTCACACAACACAAAAGTGCTTTGGATCTCCGTCAGGTCTTGTAATCCTCAGTAGATTCATAACTATGAAATAAATTTTCCAAAATGTTGTGGCAGAAACATCATTAAGTAAAGCTCAAGGAGAGAAATGCATACCCTGTGTATTGTATCTATACATTCTTTGCACAGCACTTTCTTCTTTTACTTTAGACACTGTTACTTCGCTTTCTTGTACAAATTAGAAACATTTTTGGCATAGTACTGATGAGATCTGCAATCTTTTTCCTGAAAATCAGAAACAAACTAAGCAGTGAGCATAGCATCACAACAAGGCACCGCATTTTTCACCAACTTCTTTCAAGCTACAGAATTACCAACAGAGCATTTTTTGAGAAAAAAATGGGATTCATTTTATACAGAACTTGAAAATGGAACCACCAGCTTTCCAGCCACATAAACTTCTTCAATATTCCTGTCATCACCTGAAATCAAAAAGATGAAAAAGATTGTTGTCTTGTAGTATGATCCTGTATGAATCTTGTTAATGGCCTTTTCTGAAGGCATGACTGACTATACTGCCACTGAATTAAGTATAGGTTCACATGTTTCCAAGATCTCAGAACTGGGATTGGAGACCTAGACTTTGTTTATACCATTAATATCTCTAGTGGAAAGAAGATGCAAAACTTTCTATTCATTCCGGCATTCTCCCACCCTGGACATTCTGCAGATATATAAACTTCACTTGCCTAGTTTCCAACAGACCTCACAACCTCTGAGGATGCCTGCCATAGATGTGGGTAAAACATCAGGAGAGAATGCTTCTGGAACATTGCCATACAGTCTGGAAAACTCACAGCAACCCAATGATCAGACTTGATTCCAGTCATGAAAGCCTTTGACAACACATTTCCTTTTACTTTTTATGCATACTGTGACTGTCATGACCTCAAAGCTCACAACATAGATCAAGATATATTATCATTAAACACACTTTTTAAAAATATTATCTAACTAAAACACTGCATGTTTAAGACAATTTTAAAATATTTAAAATGCAGCAACAAAGAGAAGAAAATTGCTAGCACGTGTGAGTGCTGTAGGTCTCTCTGCAGATCTGTTAGCTCTGGTTTTAATCGGGTGGCTTACTTAATTGCTTTAAAGCTTCTTGATCATTAATAGGAGGGTTTGAAAGCTGAATTTTGTCTTTATACCCAAGCTGTTTTGGATCCCATCTTGGGAGAAAATTGGGACACATATTGTTAAATAAATAAATAAATAAATAAATGTAATAGTTCAGTGACTATCATTACTGGGGCCCAGTATCTCATCCCTTTAGACTTTCATTGCTATACTCATGGGTTTATTTATTTATTTTGTGTCAAAAGCATTGCTTAAATAAGTATAAAACTGATAAAATAGAGGAAGCACAAGCAGCTAAATAATTTTAGACCAAAAACGGGCAATAGCAAACACATTATCTGTAGCTTTAAATAAGTCTTCCTCTGTGCATGAGGCAGGGCATTGTAGGCAAGCACGCAGATGCAGAGTTGTTTGTTCTACTCCACAGTCACACAAGGTGGAGAATTCTTCTAGGTAGTGCCATTTTGCCTTTTGATTTGCCCACTCCACTTCTGAGTTTGTTCAGGGACTTTCAAGTTAACCATTCTTGGTTTGCCTCTGGAGGAAGACCCTTGTGGGGGGGCATGCAATTGGGATTTCCTGGTTTAGCTTCCCAGAGGGATACTCTTGCTGTTACTGGGGGAACATTAAGAGGAGTGGTGGCTCTCATGAAGCTTTCCCTTGATTTGAGTCTACTGAGAGGAGGCTGATAACTATGTAGTGGGTGGCTTTCACAGTGTTCAACCTTATTTCTCTCACAGTTAGCATCAACTTCCCATCTCAAATCGGGGGCGGGGGCAATGCCAGCCAGCTTATAGAGTCTATCAACAGGTGTAGGTTTGAAACCTCCTGTGATTATTCTGCGTGTTTCATTCAGTGCTATATTCACCCTTATGGGTGAGCTTTCTCAAAATGCAGGGAAAACCACTGGGCAACCTATTCATGAGCAAGTATATCCCTGCACTGACCTTTATAGTCCACAGCTATAAACAAAAATTTTCATGTGCAACTAGAGAACTATGCTCCCATATATCAACAGAAACCACACTAAGATTAATGAGAAGTTTGTCAAGCATGACCTAGATCAGTGGTTCTCAACCTGTGGGTCCCCAGATGTTTGGCCTTCCACTCCCAAAAATCATAACAGCTGGTAAACTAGCTGGGATTTCTGGGAGTTGTAGGCCAAAACATCTGGGAACCCACAGGCTGAGAACCACTGACCTAGATAATCTAAATTACTTCAAAACTTCAGGCTTGGATGAACTGTATCCCAGAGTATTGAAGGAACCTGCTGGCATATGTGCAGAGTTACTTGTTCCATAATTAGTTGGAAATGTGCTCAAAGAATTGCAATCAATGGCTGTGCTTCAAATTAGAAGTAAGCTTCAAGTGGAGTTCCACATGGTCATGTCCTAGGGCTAATGGTCTTCAGTATTTTTTTTATTAATAATGTATATGATGGGAGGGGACCCTTGTCAAATCTGAAGATGATACAAAACTGGAAGAGGTGGTGAACACATTGGAAATAGGAACAGAATTCAAAATGACCTTAATGAACTAGAAAATTGTCCTAAAATTAATACAATGAAATTCTACAGGGAGAAATGCAGAAGTCTTTATTTAGGCCACAAAAACCCCCAAGTGCATGTGTATAGGATGGCTAGGCAGTATTACACATGAGACACTTATAAACTGAACATGAACCAACAGTATGATGCTGCAGCATAGAAGCCAAATGCTGTCTTGACCTAAATGAATAGAAGCACAGCTTCCAACTCGAGGGAAAGAATATTACTACCATATTCTATGCTGATTAGGTTTCTTCTAGAGAACTGCTCTCACTTCTAAGTTAGAATTTGATGGCCAAAAATTAGCATTTGATGGACAAAAAACTGCCAGGCCATCAAATGCTAATTAAGGTGGTCAGTTGAGACATTCACACCCAGCTCCAACAGATATATAAACCCAATTTTCCTAGTTCCAACAGACTTCACTACTTCCGAGGATGCTTGCCATAGATGCAGGTGAAACGTCAGGGGAGAATGCCTCTAGAACTTGGCATATAGCCTGAAAACCTACAAAAACCCAAAACAATGAGAGTTTGAAGGAGGGGGGGGCACATTAATCCTGGTGAAGAGGAAATTGAGGGATGAATTGATTGCACTCTATAAATACTTCAAGAGCTTCCATGAAGAGGAGGGTGCAGGCTTGTTCTCTGCTCCTTTGGAGGGCAGAACATGATCTAATGAGTTCAAATCACAGAAAGGTAGATTTTGATTGAACATTAGAGGGAATGTCTTGACAGTGAGAGCAGTCCAACAATGGAACCAATTGTTTGGGAGTGGATGGGATCAACTTTGGATGTCTTTAAAAAGAGTCTGGGCTACTATCTACTTGGGTTTTGGAACTGATGCCAACTCTATAATTCTGTGATACTATGATTCATGTATTTGTAGAAGACAGGTGTTTTGAAATAATATCAAAATATCTACATAACAAGTATTGATACATACCCAGATACAGGAATTTCTGGATAATATCCTAAAAATATGAAAAAAACAAAGATTAAAAAAGTTGATCCTCCTTGCTAATAAAAGAAGCCAAGAAAACACTAACAGTAGTCTAAACCACTAAGCAAATCAATATTTCAAAAAGAGTCCAGATCTAAGATGGCTATTTGCCTTACTTCTTACTTTTAATTGTCAGCATTTTGGAAAGTTGTAGCATTGCAAAAAATAACCTTCTGCTACAAATACTTTTCAGTGGATATTGTTATTTTTCCATTCTATCACTTCCATTCCTTTACTTCCCAAAGTAAGGACTATTAACCAAAATGCAATTCTAAGCTTGGAAAGAATACTGTGTATAACATGTACTGATTCAGGTTCTTATCCTAAATTCCCCATAGGAATATTTTGAGTTCATTTAATTTCTCCATGCTAAATGTCTCCTGAAACAATGTAATGTATTTATTTTCTCATTTCTAATTCAGTGAGATGATTACCCCCATCAATAAAGTCAAGACTCTCCTTATTTATCTTATTGCTTTCTCTATCTTGAGTAGTAACACAAAATAGCCAAAAGTAGCTTTGTACATGGTATAGACAAAAGTGGCTTCTCCATATATAAGCAACTTATTTCCATGACCCGTTATGTAATTACCTCAGAAGAATCAGCAGCGAACAAATCAAAAGGACTATCTGAAGCTTTGGAGTTGATTAGGAGTGCATCAAATTCTTTGCCAACCTCAAAGTTTCCAGTTATAGTATCTAATCCTAGAGCTGTGAAACAAAGTCAAATAATAAACAATATTGCTTTTTCTTTCAGAGACCCAAATTCTATATGCTAGTAAACTGGGGTTCAAGCAGATGCAAGTATGAAATTCTGCAAGGCTATTTACAAACTTTTCTTGTATTTATTTTATCACCACACCACAATACATCATGTTTCTTTCTGAACAGTTGAAAGCAATTGAAAGCAGAACATAGCAAAGTTATTTCTGGAGGAATCCCTTTGAGAACAATGCTAAAACATGTAGAAATGACTTAATTTCCTGAAAGTATGACAATTGGAACTCAATTAATAATAAAGAACCAGGATTGCACACTCCTGTGAAGAACAATTATTGTTGTTGGTTGTGTGAATTTATGCATGAACTTATAACATGGTTTTCCTGTCAAAATTCTTCAATTTTGACTTTCTCTGAAGCTGAGAAAGTGTGACTTAGCCAAGGTCATCTAGTATGTTTCCATGGCCAAGTAGGGATCCACATTTTGTTAAACCCCAATCCTAGTGGTATATTATTCACTGATGTCTTTGATGCAATTCCCATTTAAAACACAAGAGGGTGATATGAGACCAACAGTGTATCAAAATGACTTAGAAGAAGAAAAAGAATAGACTAGAAAAAGAAAAGAAAAAACTAAACTGGGCATTTGTATAGAAAATATTTTATAGCATTATTCCAAAAGCCCTTTTAATTCCTTGGGGCAATTTATTCCACATGAGTCACATTTCATTGCAGGATTGGCATAGATTCTTAAAATATAGGCATGTCACTTGAACAGTCATAAATAATGTCCCCAAATTTTGGCCATTTGCTAGGTGCTATACAAGCTTTCTTAAAACAATTTTCAAAAGTAGAGTAAAAGTATGCCAGTAAATCTGTTCCTTTTTATGACTTAGTTGTTGTCCCAACAACTAAGTTATTGGGATGAAAAAAACCCCACTATAATGTTTTGTTGAACAATGATGGAGTGATGCAAAAATTATGTTCTCTGGTTGGCAGTAAATGTTTGTGGGCAAGTAGGCGACAATGTAATTCTTATCGGGAATCAAGGATTGTAGATTATACCCCAACTGATCCCAAACTCAATTCCCATCCTCAGTGTCATGCACTTCTCATCAGAGTCAGAAAATGTCCTGAAGCCGACAAGAGCTTGTGATTATTTCCCCCCTAAAATAGACATGCTATCAGCAAAATCTGAAGTTTTCTTTCCAAAATAGAAAATTTATTTGGGGCTAATTCCAAGAATCAGATCAGGAAATTTCATTATTTAAGACGATGACTGCAAGTATGCCTTTCTTATATTTATTTTAGCTCTAATTTTGTACAAGGAATTTCTTGAGTAAACAACAACTAAGTGGTAAATATTTTTTAAAGAGCTTCATTACCTTTACTTCCTCCAAGGGTGGCTAGTCGAAAAACTTCCTTCAGAGTTAAGCCTCCCTCATTTTCTCGAGTAATATGAAGTATATTAGAAACCATAATTGCCTTTCTGATAGCATCAAGCATGGATGATGAGTGCCCACCAGCAACATCTGTAATATTTCAAATCAGTAAACAAGAAAATATTCACTGGGTGAAAACATGACTTTGATCAAATATGCAGGCTATTATAATCACATTGCTATGTTACTAGAGCATGTTCCTTCTATGAGGAATCCTTCTGCCAACTGCTGCCAACTCCTGGATAGATTTCTATAGCTAAAGAATGACACCTTTGGTCTGGGTATTTTGCTTTATGAGGAAGCAAGAACACCTGGATATAAGCTGCACTGCCAGACATTCAAATTCCGTGACAACATCATTAGAATTCAGCTAGTTCTCAGTTTGGTACTCCCCCCCCAATAGATAAGCCATTAGCCTCCTTCACTGATATCTTTGGGCCAATAAACAAGCAGATCTATTTTGATGGGAATCATACCTACCAACAGGTGCCCATGCTCTCTAACTCCCGGCATGCTATCACTAGAAATTTTAACTCTGGGTACTGATATTTTTCTAGAAATAGCTTTTAAAGTTTATTTCTCCAACCTCTGGTTTTCAATCTGTTTGTTAAAATGTTTAATTGTATTTCAGATTGTTTTATGTGTATTAAAGTGAGTGCCCAAGAGGAAACATACACAAAAGTTTTCATATCCCAATGTTTTTAACAAATATTCCTAACAGTCCGTTCTCTAGAAGCAGACAAAGGTCCTGAATAGACTCATGCAATTTGGCCAAAAGACATGCAATTTTGTGGTCCGTTTTTGGCTAACCCCTCATTCTGTTTACTTGGAAGTTACCCGAATTGGGAGGGGTGTTGCTGTTTTCATTCGGCAAAGATTCAGCTAATTGGTTATAATGGGAAACTTTAAAGGCTCAATCCTCAGTCATATTTAGGCCCATCTGCATGAATCCTATCTCAGTTTTAGACCCCATTTACAACTGCAGGTCTGTCAATACACAATACACCAATCTATTGATTTTTTAGAATTGTTTTAAAAATTTTACCATAACATTTTTTTAAAAATAAGACAAACCACAAGAGAGGCTTCTGGGAATTGTAGTCACTGGTTATGTCTATTCTCAGCCAATCAGAGAATGGACACAACCAGGTCTTTTATTAGATAACAGAGAGAGAGAAAAACTTCAACTCCCATCATGCTCTGAGAGGAACTCAGAAACTTTTAAGTGCCCACCTCATGCAAGTGCTGCTGGGAAAGCGAGTTCCCAACAGGGCCCTCTCTGAAGGAGGAGACTAGGAAATGTTTCCAAAGGAAATTGACACTTCACTGCTGAGGAGGGAGAAAAGACGCTGCAGGTAATCCCATCTTCTCTAAGAACCCCACGGCAGACTTAACTCTCATCCTCTCTAGTAACTGATAAATTCGGCTCTCTTGATCCGTTTTGCCCAGCTTTTAGATTCCCTCCTCCCTACTCTGTTTTCAGGGGCTTACATGAAACAGACCACCAAATATTACAAATCTCTTTCAGTCAAACAGATCTGGGCCCAAGTCTAGCCCTGAACTTCCTTTTGAGCAGAAGCAGATGAAAGGCTTCTCTTGGATCTAAATAGTCCAAGAATGTATGTGGTGGAAATTGGCCCCACACACCCCTAGAGGTCATTTTTTGATTATTTGGGGTCAAAAATTATTTTGAAAAAAAAATGCAAAAATAGAGGTGATAATATTTTTCACCTCTAAGAGTGCCCAAGCTTCAAAGCATAGGACAAATGCCCTCTACCTTTTGAATCCAGTTTGGAAACATTTGGAGCAAAAAGCAATTGACCGTTGATATAGCACCTTGTGAACATGAATGCTGTTTATCTTTTTTCAGTCTTTTAAAACAGTAATTTGTGATTAAAAGTTATGAAAGAAATTACTAACCTGTGCCAAGACCAAGTTTCACATCATGTTTCAGAACCTTTTTTGCATTAAAAAGTCCACTACATAGTCTGGATTGGAAGAAGGGAAAAGGAAAAGATAACAATTTTCCCCCAAATGCTGGGTAACATTTATAATACATTCATAAAAAGATGTTGACAAATGGGGAAGAAATGGAGAAGAAAGAAGTTGTTACCAAGAGCCCTCCTCCCTTTCATTTTAAATGTTCACTTTATAGATTTGACTAGGAACTTCTACATTTCCTGATCAAGAAATGTAGAAGTTCCTAGTCAAATAGAAAGTGGAACCTACAGGCCAATAAAACACTGTTCTCTTTTGATATATGCAACAGATGACATGTCCGTGGCACTTCTATAACATGTAGAAGCCTTCCTCCTGCCTAATTCTTAGCTTAGTCAAGCTATCCAAATTATTTTCATGATTAACAAGCTCTATGCCATTAATATTTGTTGAATATAGAATTTATGTCTAGAATTTGCAAGTTCAACCTCTTCATTCCCTAAACAAAAGCTTTAAAATGACTTTTTTCCTGAGTTTTTGTTCAGCCTTACACCTGTAACTAATTCTGTTGCCTTCTTCTTTCCCTGGTTGTTACCTTCCCCACATCAGTGTTGGTTCTCTTTGACCACCCTAAAGCCATTCTGTCTTGTTCAACACAGTGCTTGCATTTTGACTCTAATCTGAGTGGTATTTTGTGAAATTAGATATATAGATCTTGTGCTTGAATAGATATATCTTTGGAACCTTCTACAGTTGAGTTTTAATAAAACTCTGCCCCTTCGCCCATCCTTACAAAGTAGATGGAAAGAAACCAAGGAGTTATGTGCAGAGAATAGAGGCAGAATTTTACTGAAACCCCACAAAGCATGGTGCAAGTAACAGAGACTACAAGCCTGTGAGACAGAAAAATCACAAAAAGCATTCATTTAAATGTCACATATATATCCTATTCCTTGGTAAACAAAATACAAATGTGATTATCATAATCTCTGTACTTGTATTCTTCCTAAATTTCCACTGTTTGAGACTCTGTTATTTTCCCTCTCTTTTTGCCACTACACAACAATTCAGAATTGTCTCAACTTTGAAACTATCCATAATGAAACAAAGAAAACTTTAAAACTCAGAAAGAAAGACAGTTCCGGTTGAGCATCCCTTATCCATAATTCTGGAATCAGAAATACTCCAAAACTAAGTCCATGTGGGAGGCTGAGATATTCGCTCCTTTGCTTTCTGGTGGTTCAGTGTACAAAATGTTCATTCACAAAATTATTAAAATATTGTGTTTAAATTACTTTCCAGTCATGTGTATAAGGGGTGTATGGAATATAAATGAACTTGTGTTAAGACTTGGGTGACATCTTCAAGAAATCTCATTATTTACGTATATGCAAATGAGGGTATTCCAAAATCCAAAACACATATGGTCTCATCCAATTATGGATAAGGGATACTCAGCCTGTATGGCATGGTAAAAGAATCTGCACATATATGAAAACACAGATATTGAAGAATCTAAAATCCAAAACATTTTTGATCACAAGCATTTCAGATAAAAGATACTCAACCGTATCTCATGTATAGTTTTAGAAAAAACCAATTCACTTATTATATAAATACATAAAATATACCAGATCCCATCTGATCATGGAAGCTAACTAGCATCAGCTCTAGTTAGTTCTTTGGTTGGAGACCATCAAGGAATGCTAGGTGCTGTAGGCTACCATTCAGAGAAGGAAATGGCAACACCACCTCTGAAATTCATTGCCTGAAAGCACCACATGAAATTAATGGGGTTGCCATAAGTCAGAAAGCAACCTGAGGGTAAAAGCACAGACACAATGTTAGTTTACTTACGATATATTTGAATTTGGGCAATGTGCAATGGCAGCTCCTCTAAGGTGAAACATTTTCAGCTCTTCATCAGTAAGATGGCAACCATGAGCCATTATGGTCTAAGGATGTAAAGCAATACAGAATAATTCACTTCTGTTGTTGTGAATGACTACAATTGTTCCAGTTTATGTTTTGATTTCAGCAGTGCTTTTGCAAACTAATGAAGAGACTATAAGCACAACAACATGTCATTATTTGATGTATTCACAAGATTTCAAGGTCGTTAGTGTATGAACATTTCTTTTGAATATGTAGCCAAAGCCCATCCAGATGTCATGGCAACATTTTCACATGAGTAGGGGAGTGAATCCATTTTAGATTTTTGTTGGAAGTTCAAATGGACTATCCAGAGGACCAAATCTATTTTTGAAATAAGGTTCAGAACCTTGGATAGAACATTTAAAGCTGAGACCAGGAGTGGACAACTGCATGGGAACTATCTCCACAGGCTATACTTCCATACAGCACGCCCTAATGCTGGCATTTTTCTTTGTGGTCCCTACCAAAATGGTGACATGAAGTGACATCATCTATAATATTCCAGGTTCCTACAGATGTGTATTTTAGTTGTTTTCATTTACTGAGGGGTCCTTCTTCATTGCTTGGGGGAATTATTAGAAAATGTTTTGGGTTTTTTTAAATGGAGATGAGATTTTGGAGGACTAGTAAGAGGCTTCAACAGCCACAGAAGTCAGTTGTAGGGGCTATTTCCCCTTGTTTGGATTAAATTAAAAGCTGGTGAAGATTAATTATCCTATTAACATGGCAGGTACAACCCATGACTTCACAGATATTTTACCATGTGCTAAAAAAGGCCACTCTTGTCTGTTGGGTGTATACTTCAGACCTATTTCTATTCTTGCTTTAAAAGCAATCTCTCTGCATCCATTATCAGTTATAAATTAAGCTTAAATGCTTTCTTACAGAAAGATTATTCCTCATGACAGAAAAGGTGGTTTGCTTCTCAGATAATCATGGAAAATCTTTGTGAAGAGCCAGTGTGGTGTTTCACTGGAAAGAAAGGTTTGATGCCCCAGTCAGCCATGGAAATCTACTGGGTGATCTTGGGCAAACCATACACCCTCAGCCCTAGAAAACTATCTGAAAAACCTGGAGATTTGAAATGAAATTAATTCAACTGCAGACACAAATGCTTATTTCAGATAGTAATATACTGGGAAGTTGCACAGAAACTGAAAAGCACTTCATGGATACAACATAGCAGAATAGGTATGATCCTCAAGGGAAAAAAACTTTCAAAAGTATCAAGCCTCAGAAAATGGATCAACATTCCATCTCAGTAATAGTTTTCATTAAATAGACAAAGCATAGGACCTATATCTCTCTCACAACTGATAGACTCCAAAACATCATACCTTGTTTGTAAGAAGCTTGTTTTTATCATACAGTTCAGTATAATTTTGATAAGAAAGAAACATATTTTTAATAAGTTTGACCTCTTCTTCGCATTCACTTATGTGGCTCTATAGGGAGGGAGAGAGAAAAGACAACAGTCAGCATTTATGTTTAAATAATAAGAACATCTCTGAAACAAAGAAATGTGTAAATACCGGAGGTGTGGTGTGTGTGTTGCTCTCCAGAAAGGGATACATCTAGAAACATGGTGGGAGCATTTCAGTCCTACAAAGCTGTGATTATTATGTATCAGGAAGATGATTGAATCCAACTCATCCCTGCCTTTCCCATATCCATAGCTTATTCTCAGGATTTCAGCATTTTAAAGAAGTATGTCCACTGGTTAAAACTTGAAGGTGGCTTAAGGTTATAATTCAATGGATACAAGTTCTGGAGAACAAGCCTTATGAGGAGCGGCTTAAACAGCTAGACATGTTTAGCCTGAAGAAGAGAAGGCTGAGAGAAGACATGATAGCCATGTATAAATATGTGAGGGAAAAGTCATATGGAGGAGGAAGTAAGCTTGTTTTCTGCTGCCCTGGAGACTAGGACGCAGCACAATGGCTTTAAACTACAGGAAAAAAGGAGATTCCACCTGAACATTAGGAAGTACATCCTGACTGTGAGAGCTGTTCAGTAGTGGAACCCTCTGCCCCAGAGTGTGGTAGAGGCTCCTTCTTTGGAGGCTTTTGAACAGAGCCTGGGTGGCCATCTGTCAGGGGTGCTTCGAATGTGAGTTTCCTGCTTCTTGGCAGGAGGTTGGACTAGATGGACCACAAGGTCTATTCCATCTCTATGATTCTAAGACTCTAAGTAGAAAAGGTGCAGAAGGGAGTGGAATAAAGGACAAAGCTTGGGAACTACAGTACACAAACCCTCCTTTCACAGTCAACACCGGTATGCTGGCACCACATTATTGGTCCATAAAGCCAATGTTGATGATGGTGATGTTCTTATTAGTTGTTGTTGTTATTGTTGTTGCTATTCTAAACTCAGAGAAACATGCTTATTTCTGTAGCCTAGTTCTAATCTGCTTTTCAAAATTAGCAAACAGGAGCCTGAAGTAATGGGGTGGATCAGCAGGATTTTCCCTTCCTGAAGAAATTTGTGATTTAGAACACAACATCTCATGTTTATAAGCAATGACTTATACAGAAATGGTGCTAAAAATGGTAATTAGATGAAAAAACAAAGTAAAAGAAAGCTAGACTGCAATAACTTATGATTTAAGGGGACATGTTTATTTCTGTTTGCCTGGCAAATTTCTATCTTTTCAGAAGCATAGTGTCCTGAAAGGATGGTGTATGTTCTGCAGGTGTAAACTGCAGCCAGTCCAGGGAGCAGTGTTTTGGCATTTTAGACACTGTGGAAATGCCAAAAGAAAAAAAAGAATAGAAAACAGCAACACAAACCCAGAAGTGACCTCAAGTGGGGGGAAAAAAAGTAAAAGAATTGAAAGCACATTCAAAGGGTGAATTGCCATTCAAGGAAGATTGTGGAAGAGACAATTCACACTGTAGAAAATGGTTGTCAGGTGAATCTGAAGGGCATGTTGTTGTTCATTCGTTCAGTCGTCTCCGACTCTTCGTGACCTCATGGACCAGCCCACGCCAGAGCTCCCTGTCGGCCGTTACCACCCCCAGCTCCCTCAAGGTCAGTCCAGTCACTTCAAGGATGCCATCCATCCATCTTGCCCTTGGTCGGCCCCTCTTCCTTTTGCCTTCCACTTTCCCCAGCATAATTGTCTTCTCTAGGCTTTCCTGTCTCCTCATGAAGGGCATAGGGACTAGCCTTTGCCCATTTCTGGAGCAAAAAAAAAATGAAAAGGCTATAACATAATTTATTAAAGACAATGCACATGCTGCATCCATTTAATCAATTATTGTTGACATTTTGGGCCTTTCTTCTTGTTCACATTTATGGGCAGATTTGAGGGGGTTTGGTTGGTTTGTGGATAAAATAATCCCAAACAATTAACTCATTCAAAATGAAGGAAGGAACTGGAGGCTATGAAATCTTTGAGGTGGGGGTCAGGCACTGCACTTAGGGCCCTGTGTGGCCCATGGGCCATACTTTGGCCACAACTATCCACTGGTGAGGTGTGCAGAAAATTGCACTTCAGCAACATCTGGAAGGCTACATGATTATAAGCCCTTCTGTAGTATCTTTTTAGGACTCTTACTGCTTTTACAGTGAGTAAATTACAGGCATAATGCAAATGAGATACTTGCAAATGCAAATATGTACAGTTTCTTACTTGCCTGAATTTGTATTTGTCTACATTTGTGTGTGCGTCCATGCGCATGCGCGCATGCATGAATATATACATTTATACAACACACATACATTCACAGAACATCACGTTTGCCCAAATATCCCCAAGGGGGAAAAAACCCCACATTGTGTGCATGGGTATTGTTAAATAATCTTGGGCATAATGCATACTATTAAGTGCAGTGTGGGATCACTGTTTATTAATCTGCTTATGAATAAAAGTGAAAAAGTTATGTCAGCAAAGCTAACGAGTCTTTACATGCACAACTGGGTAAACAAGAAACAATCTGTATTACTAATTGCCAGAGAAAACAAATTGAGGGAACAACCACTTTTCCTGGTACAATGTGTTACTTTCAATTATCATTTCACTTTACCAGAAGTATCACCAACGATATAAATCAGGAACTTATATTTTAGACAATCAGTTAGACTCACTGTACTCTCCAGAAATTGTGCTGATAAGGGTTAGAAGACATACAATCTATCAGAGTATATTGATTAGATTGGTATACAGTGTAAGGGGGACAAAGACATCTGATGTATATACATAAGATTAAGATACATTTGGTTATAAGTTGGCCATACCCACTTTTTCTCTCTGTACTTGTATATTTATAATTTTACTCTTTTGATTTTGATTTTTATACTATCTCTGAAGCATGTAAGATGACACTATATAAAGACGACAAGGATGCCAACAGAAGGCTGAAATGGGTGGAAGGGGCAGTCTTATGGCAATCATGTTGAAATAAGACATTCTGATTAGAAACACTCTTAAGACCTCATCCCATTTGAAAAATTCCCCATCATAGAACACTTCTCAAATGCAGTCAGCACGGAGCCCGCTGGAACTCATCACATGACACACAACTACTTCCAGCATGGTTCCATGACGGCTATGTTGGTGAAGTGCTCTACAATGGGACACTACCCATGTTCAGACTACAAATCATGGAGATAGCACAGGAACACACTGGAAAGATATGCTTTCTGACGTGTGATGGGCAAGTGAGTGATGTGGGTGATCTGGGGCACTGGGCGACGGAATTGCCCCACTACCCCACTATTTGCCCCTCTGCCCTATGAATCCCCCCACCAACCCTCGCATCAAGGACCTCCATGTTATGAAATCCTTACACTTTTATTTGCTAAAGTCTATGTTGTTCAGAAATGTAATGTATTTTCAAATAACTAATTTCTATCTTTGGCAGAAAGGTTTACTCTGCTGAAGTGGATCCTACAAACTTGAAGGAAATTGCACTAGATGTTATGGTGTTCGCATGTGTTATGTCTGCAGGAACTGATAACAGACCTGGTGAGATAAATAGCGTGTGAAGGTTTAAGCTACTGGAGTTCTCAAAACTGCTGGATCAGTGAGTTTCCACTAAATACAAGAAGAAAAATCCTACCTGTACATGAATATCGTGAGCTTCTGCCAGGTTACCAAGGCTACGCAGTAATTCCTCTGTGCATGATGGCCCAAAACGAGGTGTTACTATGGGATGTACTCTTGCATACTGGGAATATTCAAATAATATAAAAATAAACAATGCACATTTGTGCATGACAGCAGGCTAAAATTATAGTTATTATTAGATTGTTTCTATAACATCTATGTAAATTATTCGAAAAGTAGAAACTCGTAAATCTGTACTGTTATTCACTGTTTCCACTGTTTCTGCAAAGATTAAACCACAAAGTACACACAGTAAAGCAGTGTCATCGGTTAATAAGCACAAAGCACCCAGTATGTGCACATTCTGGCTTTAATTGATTACTATTTAAAAGAAGGATGTTGTTTTAATTACCAGAAAACCTGTCTGTTCATTCATGTCTGGCATCAGACTACTATATGCATTTCAATTACTTATTATGCTCATCTGTATGTATATTGATAATCACAAAGAAAGAGATACAACTAGAACTTTCTAAGGAAAAGAAGGGAGAATTAATGCTTGAAAATTCTAAGATAAAAAAAGCCCAAAAGGCATTGATTGTGGATTATCAGAATATGAATGTTGTTACATTGCTTGTCAGCATGAAAATATTGAGAAAGGCGGTACTCAAATTCTCATTTTACAAGAGTAAATTAAAGTAAAGCTGATTGACTTGCCCAAAGACAACAATATGAATCAAAATGATGAATGCCTATTTAAAGGTCATTCTACCATGATCAGGTTTAAAGAAAGAACAGAAGGGATAAACAGTTTTTAAAGGGTGCTACGATCTCCCTTTTCCATGGCTTGCCTTCCCAAGGCCACAAAAGACTACTCCAGTTAACAAAACCTGACAAAGAAGCTTCTGTTTACGAAGAATTTTTACACCTACCCTATCCCTCTTTTTGCCCATTGTCCTCTATCTAACCGGACATTTTAAGCAGCAACATCTCTGGGAGGTTGATGAAAGAGGAATGCAGAAACATAGACTTTTGCAGCAGTGTGTCTACAATAAACAATGACATAAAACTCACGTGGAAAGAATGGGACTTCACACTAACAAACCCTACTGCAGCTGTCTGTGCTTGCTTACTACAGGCAAGGTAAACACCAGCTGCCTCCAGAATCCATTACTGAAACATGTGTGGACAACAAAACAGAGAGAAAGGAGAGCAACAGATAAACATGGCTCACCATCAACCTACATGTTAAAAAAAGGAATAGCTTTGGAACTACCTCATAGGAAAATCATAAAAATGGAAGCTGGCAAAAGGGGAAAAATCAACCTTTCATGCATTTTGGAAGAAGTTTTCAAGCGGTCAACAAGTTTGCTTGTATTTGGGAGGGGGGGAGTAATCTTTCCATATTAGTTTTGCCTCTGGTACCAAATGTTCTGTTAAAGAAGCAGTGCCCAGGAAAACAACTACTTGGTTAGCTAAGATATGTGTTCTTTGGATATGGAATATGTGGCTCTCTGTAATTCTTGAACTGCCTCTCCCAGCAATCCCAGAAAGCACAGCCTATGGTGAGGAGTCCTGGAAATTGCAATCCAACAATGCCCAGTGAGGGACATTTCATTCACCCTATTTAGGTACTGAGGGAAAAGTCTGACCAGGAAGAGGAGGAAGGTTTAGCTCTCATATGATGTTTTTACCTTTAAAATTAGGCTTCCCTGTTTGTACACTACAATAGCTTAGCCTTTAAAACAGTGGGTCATTTATTATCACATGTTATTTGACTCTAAGGTAATACCTGAACTGTTATGCTCAAAACTATATCAGGAGCCCATGCCTCATCATCTTTTATCCAGGAAAATGTCTCCTTTTACTTAATTTTTCAATTTAAAAAAGCTGAGAGCAAAAGTATAGCAAGATTAGTTATTTTCTAAAGAAAAAAATGCAGTTTTACTTACTTTCTTTTCCAGTACTCCATTAATAAACCTATGAGAGTTAGAGAAGAGCTAAGATTAGTACCGTATGTTAGCATTACAGTGTAGGTAAATGATAGATAAGGAATTTGTGCATACATACACACACAACAAATACAGGAAGTCCCCAAGTTATAAACAAGATAGGCTCTATACAACCGTTTTGTATGTAAATTGGAACAGGTACATTTTTAAAGTGGAACTCCAGCTATATAATAATAATAATAATTATTATTATTATTTATTTATTTATACCCTGCCACCATCTCCCTGATGGGGACTCGGGGCGGCTTACATGAGGCCAAGCCCAAACAACAAATTACAGCAGAATAAAACCGAAAACGCAAACAATAAACAACAAGGTCATAATTACATAAAACATATGAATGCATAACGATATAAAATTACAATAAACACAATCACAGTATATATGTGTGTGCATGTGTGTGTGTGTATGCAACTCTGGTGTTTGTTTTGTTGTCTGTACTCCTGTTCAGAAGATTTGAAATACAGGCAGTCCCCAAGTTACAAACAAGATAGGTTCTGGACGTTTGTTCTAAGTTGAATTTATTTGTAAAATGGAACAGGTACATTTTTTCAGTGTCACTCCGGCCAACAATAGGTGTTTCTTAGCTTTGGATAGCATAGGGAAGGGTGAACCCTATGCTATCCATAGGGTGTTTGTTTTGCTGTCTGTGGTCCTGTTCAGAAGATTTCACCTCACTTTCTGTCCCTGTGAGAATTGGATTTTGAAAGATTTGACTTTTTGTGGAAAAAAGGATTGGGGAGAAAGCTTCAGCAGATACATCTTTTCCCCATGATTACTCTTTCAAGAGAGATTTTTTCTTCCTAGGGGCAGATTTCTCTTACTTCTTGTTGTCTTATTGTCTCACCCCTGTTCTTAACTATGATTCATTTGTAAGTCAGATATTTGTAACTCAGGGACTGCCTATATACACACCAAAAAAGCAAGAGACAAAGAAACATGTACAATGTTTTGTATATCATCATGTCAATATGCAGACATAAAGAACTTAATGTATGGATCATTTGAAAATGTGATTTGTGCAATTGTGCAGTAAATCAACACAATTTTATGGACGTTTTAAGGCTGTGAAAATGTACATTAAAATAAAGACCTTGAATACAAATCTGTACAAACTGTTAGTAATTAATAGCATGCAACTGGTCATTACTTTGCTTTCAGTGACAACTATATAGATAACATGCAAAATCAAGTGAAAGCTTAATTATATAATACCGTAGAAGTAATTTTTTTTCAAAGCGCAAAAACATAATTTCAGCTCACTATCACAATACCAAGAATGTCCTACTTCTATTGTCCTATTTTTAGATGTCACAAATATGCTTCTTTTATAGTATTTATGTACACTGGGACATTTAAATTCAATTTTAGATTTCTTCCATCATTCATTTCTTTGATACTGTATAAGTTTCCCTTGCAACTTTTTGCAGAAACATTTACCTGCTTTCAAGTACGCAGAGAAATGAGAATTTCTTCAAAGGTTTGAGAAGTACAGGAGAGTCTATAATCCTACAGTCAACATTAGGAGCAGTTTTTCTTTGATACTATGGGTGAGTCACACATTCATTATGGGGATAATGTGCTGTATATTCTTTTGATGTTGATGAGGACACAGGTTCTTTATTACTGGTAAATAAGTTATGTATGAACACGGACACAGAAGATTGGATATTTTCATGCTGCACAAAGCTATTTTAAATGTGACAGTTCAAGGATGCTTCTGTCAAGATTTGCTGTATGTCTTCAAGTTGTTCCTGACCTATGGCAAACCTATAATTGGGGGTTCTTTTGGTGGGATTTGTTCAAAGAGGGCCTTCCTGAGCCTGAGAGCCTTTCTCCAGCCCGGGAGAAAGATGTGATATAAATAAAGTGATTGATGAGTAAATCTCACAAGAACCTTCGGTAAAGTAAACTGCCAATTGTGCACTAATTTTGCAACATCCAAGAGGCATGCCTTGCTTTCTTGTAGTGGTGCAAATAATGGCTCTTCATTGAAGACCATCTCCTTCAGCAGAGCTTTCTTTGTTATTGGGATAGAAAATTGGCTCATGTCATCAATTAAGTCTTCTGGGTTGTTGTGAGTTTTCCGGGCTGTATGGCCATGTTCCAGAAGCATTCTCTCTTGACATTTCACCCACATCTATGGCAGGCATCCTCAGAAATTGTGAAGTCTATTGGAAACTAGGCAAGTGGGATCTATATATCTGTGGAATAATGTCCAGGGTGGGAGAAAGAACTCTTGTCCGCTTGAGGCAAGTGTGAATGTTGCAATTAGCCACCTTGCTTAGCATTTAATGGCCTTACAGCTTCAAAGCCTGGCTGGTTGCTGTCTGGGGGGATCCTTTTTGGGAAGTGTGAGCTGGCCCTGATTTATTCTTGTCTGGAATTCCCCTGGGTTTTTTTTTTTTAGTGTTGCTCTTTATTTACTGTCCTGATTTTAGAGTTTTTTTTAATACTGGTAGCCAGATTTTGTTCATTTTTATGGTTTCCTCCTTTCTGTTGAAATTGTCCACATACTTGTGGAATTCAATGGCTTCTCTTGTGTAGTCTGCCATGGTAGTTGTTAGATTGGTCCACCATTTCTGTGTTCTCAAATAATATGCTGTGTCCAGGTTGGTTCATCATCCTCTCACCTCTGCAAGAATCTACCGTGTACCATGCAGCTGTGGATAAGTCTACATAGGGACCTCCAAACACAGTGCATAACAGGAATCAAGAAACATGAAAGACACTAAAGACTAACTCAACCAGAGAAGTCAGCCATAGCAGACCACCTAATGAACCGACCTGAACACAGCATATTGTTTTATATCATTGTTTCAATGTTGTTTTTGAATTTCTGCACAGCCATGGAAATCCGTTGAGTGCCTCTCAGACAAGTCATTCTTCATCGGCCTCAGAGAAAGGCAACAATAAACCCCCTCTGAACAAATCTTGCCATGAAACTTCTGTTACAGGCTTGTCTTCAGGTTAACATAAATCAGAAATGACTTTAAGACACACAACATAAACAAGGCTGTCTGGTAGGGAAGTCTACATTCCATACAAAACTACAAATTCAGGATGCCATAGGATGGAGACATGTTATTTGTGTAGTGTGAAAGAGAACAGTTGTCTAAATAATTTGTTTTTAATCTTTGAATGTTAAAACATACACATGCATTTGGAAATATATTCACAAAGTAATATGGCCCAATCAAATTACTTTAGTGGAAACTGTTGAAAAAAATGCTGCATGAATCTAAGAATAACTGCAATGAGATAACAAATGTGGTTTATGATGACAATCCAGTTTTTTAAATCAAGGTTTTATTTTAATTTCTAATTTCTACACTCTCCCATCTTCACTGTGTTTAGAAGAATATAGTGCCAAATTTATACAGAATCAGCATTTTACCTTTCAGTTTCCTTAACAGATTCTGTGGTGGTCTCCTTATATTCTTGAAAACATTCATTGTGATCCATGCAAACTTTGCCCACGAATGCCCTTTGGCCAAACTTATCTGTGAGAAATGAAAGAGAATAAAGCTTAAAATAATGTTTTTCATTCACATTGTTAAACAAGGCTTTCTTTTGAAAACATGTTCACCAAGTCTGTTCATATAAAAACACATCGCCACCGCAGCAAAGGTTTCTAAATGTTCCTGTCTGTATTGGGAGTGCTATGTTGGCTTTGGGATTCTGGGAATTGTTCAAAATAGGAAAATTTCCAAACTCTGCCTGCAACTTTCTATTTGGAATACGGCAGCACAATACAAGGCGCAGGAAGCAGGTCAGCTGTTTGTACACCCAACTGCTCAAATACTTAAGGAACATGGTTGAAGGCTTTTATGACCAGAATCACAGGGTTGCTGTTTTTCGGGCTGTATGGCCATATTCCAGAAGCATTCGCTCCTGACGTTTCGCCTGTATCTATGGCAGGCATCCTCAGAACTATCCTCAGACCTCACAACCTCTGAGGATGCCTGCCATAGATGGAGCAAAACGTCAGGAGAGAATGCTTCTGGAACATGGCCATACAGCCTGAAAAACTTACAGCAACCCTACTTTAGGAACATTATGGCCATATCCATGAAATTAACCTTCTAACAATACGGGCTTACAGTGGTCTCAAATCTGATGTAGTGTAGCAGTTACAAGTATGATCTACAAGCTATAAGTGCCTCTAGTCAAAGCTTATCTCCACTAATAACTCTCTCGGTGCCTGTAGGACAGCCATTATCTCTCTTATCTCCATATGAAGTGCTCCAAACACACCAAGATGCCATATGCTTTAAGTGGTAAATGGTGACAACAGTGACGTGGTTGTTATGGAATAATTGCCACACTATATTTTGAGAACCACATGCTTAGATAGGATTTTTAAGGATTAGATAGTTTCAAGGAAGACAGGCTTATTACTTGGAAGCGACAGCCATGTAGATCTTTCTTGGTGCTAACTGCAAATAACATGAAAAATGTACTCCTTCATGCCTTTCATGTTTTTTAAGCAATCATTGTCAGAACTTGGAAAATACCCCACTCCACATGACCTGAAAGTAACTCTTCTGGGATAATAATAATACATTTTTATTTATATCCCACTTTTCTCCCTCACAGGACTTAAAGTGGCTTACAACATATTAAAACCATGTAAACAACAATCCAAAAACATCGATAAGTATAAAACATCCTAAAATAAACAGTTTAAAACAACAATAATATACCTTCATATTCTTGTGGCATCAGATCTGAGAATAGTTGAAAAAAGAATGCAGACTGATCTAGCAATGCAATTCTTATATTACCAACTACACGGAAACAATTTAAAAGAAATGGAAAAAGTTATAAGGAATCTGAGATAGGGGCGGGAGGTGAATGGGAATCTATTGTTGCTACCCAGTTTTTCAGGGTCAATCTAATGCATACCTAGAGCTCCAGAAGACTTCTGAGCTATTCCAGGGCAGAGTCAATTTGCACTAGAACTCAAAATACACTATTTTGCAAAGAGGATTTTTCATCATTCTATCTGCACTACACTAGTCAAGGTCATAACCACAAAAGGTTTCTAGATGAATCATTCTGCTTCAAGAGGAAGTGGTAGTCAAGTTGGTTTCAGCTAACAATAAGGTTTCCTCTAAAAAGCCTTTCATAAATTTACCGATAATATCAGCCAGAAGCAAAGAAGCATCTGTGTGAATTGTTGCAAAGTAGCAGGCTGTAGTTGTACCATTCTTGAGTGTTCTCCTCTGTAAAAAAACAAAACAAACAAAAAAACCTCATAGTTAACTCATCTGAAGAAAGAGTGATAAAACGAATAGTGTTACTTTAGTTTGGTTCAAGTTACATTTTTCAAAATCCTTCAAAATTAAAAAATGCCAACAATTCTAAAAATGTTTTAACCAGAAGCATCAACACCACCCGTGGGAGCAATAAACTGTAGAAGAACATGAGAGAGGCCTTTCCCATTTGTGGAATACCTTTCTCATCAACACTCAATTGGTGCCAGGTTACTTCATTCTACTCTCAAGCTAAAACAGTTTTTATTCAAGTTTGTGGGACCTAACTGCATTTTTTCCAGATTTGTGGGACCTAATTGCATTTTTATCAATGTACATGTACATGATTCCAAACTATTTTGAGCATTCTACCTATTTTAAGTTCTTTGATATGATTTTGGTCTATTTAAATTATTATAGGTTTAAAATGTGTATTTTTAATCTGTTCACTCTTCTTTTGTTCATATGCTGTCCTGAGATCTTTTGATAAAGGATAAGATACAAATACTACCACCGGTGTGGTCTTGGAGAGAGAAATATGAGCTGCATCATGCCTAGTCCAGGAACCAAAGAAAGGCCCTCTATCTATCTATCTATCTATCTATCTATCTATCTATCTATCTATCTATCTATCCCACTTGTGGTTGCCCTGGCCTAGCAGCCAGCATCTGTTGAACTTTATCCCCTCCACCACTGCTGTACTCTTTTCCTTGTGTGTTGATATCTTTATAGAGTGTAAGCCTGAGAACAGGGATTTGTCATATTAACAACTGTAAAGTGTCCCTGTTGGCTTTCAGATTCTGAACATTTTGGCCATTTTTTTTTCCAAATTCTGCTTTCAACCTTCCATTTGGAATGCAACAGTATGGGACAAGGGGAGCATGCAGGTCAGCTACTTGGAAAGCCAGCTCTTCAAAAACTTTAGGAACATTTTGGTCATGGGCAACGTGGAAGATGCCGAACAGACTGCACTCTGGCACTACTAGATGCAGAGCCAATCTTAAGAAATGGGGCTACACAATATGCGAGTGTGAAGAAGAGCAAGACACAGACCACTTACTACAATGCAGTCTGAACCCTGCCACATGCACAATGGAGGACCTTCTCACAGTGACACCAGAGGCACTTGAAGTGGCCAGCTTATGATCAAAGAAAATTTAGTATAATGCCAAGTTTTTAACTTTGTTTGTGTTTTTTTTATACATTATAACTGTATTCTCAATTCGCTTTTGACATGATAAATAAATAAATCATTTGACAACAATGGCTTACCGTGGTCTGGAATCTGATGCAGCATATGAGTTACAAGTATCATCCATTTATTTATTTATTTACCTTATTTATATCCCAACTTTCTCTACCCCGAGGGGAACTCAAGGCAGCTTATAACATACAATATCCAACTAAAAACATGTTTTAAAATTAAAAACATAATAAACATAATTAAAATATATTTCAATGAATCACATCATCCAGAGTCAATGTCCATGGCCATTCTGTAGTCATATTGCATATTTTCCATATTAACATTTCTGCACTGATTTATTTTTCAAAAGCTTGCTCCCAGAACCAGATTTTGACTCTCCTTCTGAACACTAGGATGGAGGGGGCTGCCCTGATAACGCTATAAGTCCATAAGCTATAAGCTTATCTCTACTATGTATAATGATGATACTACATAATTATGATGGTGGTGATAATGATGAAAAAAATAAAATTATCAGTGGTCAAATTCTGGGTAAGAATGGGTTGTTGTGGGTTTTTTGGGTTGTATGGCAATGTTCTAGAAGCATTCTCTCCTGACATTTTGCTTGCATCTGTGGCAAGCATCTTCAGAGGTTGTGAGGTTTGTTGGAAACTGGAAAATTGGTTTATATATCTGTGGAAGGTCCAGGGTGGGAGAATACCTCAGGGTAAGAATAACTCTGATTTACCTCCTTCAATTCACTTAAACATTATTCTCTATTTCCTGCTTATGTGAATGTTGTTGTTGTTAACTGACACCAAATTGGCTTCAACTTATGGTGAATGAGAGACCTCCAAAACAGCCAGTGATTAACAGCCCTGCTCATGCCCTGCAGACTCAAGATTGTGTCTTACTTGACCAGACAATCATGTCCACAGAAAACCAATGTATGGCTGAGAGACCAATGTATGGCTGAGACCAATGTATGGCTGTGACAGGCTTAAACCATACCTGAAGAAGGATTCCTGCAAGAGTAATGGTTAAGACCCAGCAAGATTATCTGACTAGCAAGGACAGGCCAGAAGCAGCCGGGCAGCAGGCCAGAGGTAGACGTGGATGACAGCAGAGGTGCAGCACAGAGCGGTCTGCTCTTGACAAAAGGGCCTTGAAAGAATCAGAAGCCAATAATGGCTCTTCACAGGCAGATGGAGCTCTTAGCGACGTTAAAGAGCATAGGGGCTACACAAATTAATATGTTTACAAAAATACAAGCTATCACAACAGCAGGGAAAGAATTTACTCACCACAACTCTTGTGTACACCTCTGCAGCAAGATTAAGGTCCTCACATTGGGCCTCTCTTGGATACGTGTATTTTTTTAACCACTGAAGAAGAGGCAGGTCTGTTCGTGTTCCTGCAAAAGAATACTGTGGAGCATGGATATGTGCGTCAACCAAACCTGGCATGAAGAATTCACTGTGGAAGAAAAACAAAAGGGAAACATTCACCTTTGTCATCATATGACTCAAAGCAATCTAAAAAATCTTAGTTCTTGTGGGTTTTTTCGGGCTATATGGCCATGTTCTAGAGGCATTTCTCCTGACGTTTCGCCTGCATCTATGGCAAGCATCCTCAGAGGTGAGGTCTGCTGGGACTGGGAAAAAAGGGGTTTATATATCTGTGGAATGACCAGGGTGAGACAAAGGGCTTTTGTAAGTTGGGCTAGGTGTGAATCTTTCACTGACCACCTTGATTAGCATACAATGGGCTGACTGTGCCTGGAGCAAACTCTTCTTGAAAGGTGATTAGATGTCCCTGCCTGTTTTTCTCTCTGCTGTTTTTGCTGTTGCAATTTTAGAATTTTTTAATACTGGTAGCCAGATTTTGTTCATTTTCATGGTTTCTTCCTTTCTGTTGAAATTGTCCACATGTTTGTGGATTTCAATGGCTTCTCTGTGTAGTCTGACATGATGGTTGTGAGAGTGGTCCAGCATTTTTGTGTTCTCAAATAAAATGCTGTGTCCAGGTTGGTTCATCAGGTGCTCTGCTATGGCTGATTTCTCTGGTTGGAGTAGTCTGCAGTGCCTTTCATGTTCCTGGATTCTTGTTTGGGCGCTGCGTTTGGTGGTCCCTATGTAGACTTGTCCACAGCTGCATGGTATACGGTAGACTCCTGCAGAGGTGAGAGGATCCCTCTTGTCGTTTAGCAAAGGACAAGAGGGATCCTCTCACCTCTGCAGGAGTCTACCGTATACCATGCAGCTGTGGACAAGTCTACATAGGGACCACCAAACGCAGCACCCAAACAAGAATCCAGGAACATGAAAGGCACTGCAGACTACTTCAACCAGAGAAATCAGCCATAGCAGAGCACCTGATGAACCAACCTGGACACAGCATTTTATTTGAGAACACAAAAATGCTGGACCACTCTCACAACCACCATGTCAGACTACACAGAGAAGCCATTGAAATACACAAACATGTGGACAATTTCAACAGAAAGGAGGAAACCATGAAAATGAACAAGATCTGGCTACCAGTATTAAAAAATTCTAAAATTGCAACAGCAAAAACAGCAGAGAGGAAACAGGCAGGGACATCTAATCACCTTTCAAGAAGAGTTTGCTCCAGGCACAGTCAGCCCATTGTATGCTAATCAAGGTGGTCAGTTGAAAGATTCACACCTAGCCCAACTTACAAAAGCCCTTTGTCTCACACTGGTCATTCCACAGATATATAAACCCCTTTTTTCCCAGTTCCAGCAGACCTCACCTCTGAGGATGCTTGCCATAGATGCAGGCGAAACGTCAGGAGAAATGCCTCTAGAACATGGCCATATAGCCCGAAAAAACCCACAAGAACTGAGTGATTCCAGCCATGAAAGCCTTCGACAATACATAAAAAATCTTAATTTATATAAGTATCCTCAATCTTGTGCCTGAATAATATGGTTACATAATATTCCTAAAATCAATAGCATAACACTCAAATGTGTCAAAGGATCAAATGTTATTGTTGGGCAAAAGCAATAATTTTCTTTTCATCAGAAATGACAGCCCTATTCAGAAAATATATGTAGGACATCAGTGCACGGAAGAAGCAGGATCACACCTGCTGGTTGCTAGCAATGCTTCCATGGGAACAAATAGAAATTTGAGACCTTTATCCCATATTGAATCTCAAACATATGTGGAATACTACATTCAATGACAGTTCTACCTAGAATAGATGGATTGGAACCAAGGGGGCTTCAATTAGTGGTGACTAAGCAATTCCACTGATTTTAATGTGCTTGCTCCCTAACTAGGATTAACTTTGGATTTAGTTCATTACACTAGTTAGGCAAGTTGTGTTCCTTCCGAATCGTCTCAGTTAACAGTTAAATTTGGGACCAAATTGTTGGCATTCAACCCCACACTGCTCAAGTCATAAGACTTCAATGGGGAACAGTTTAGCTAGCTTAGAATAGTCTAAGAATTTCCCTTTCCCCCATTTCTCCTGTATGACAATTGGGAATGTATCAGTTTTTTCTTTCCTCTCTGTTTCTGCTCTCATTCTGATTGTTTGTGTAGAATGATACTTTTCTACTGCAAGCCTTTTTAAACTCTGACTTCTGTTTCTTACATCTGAGTATGTGCTGTGTGCTTTGAGATCTCTCTCTGCATGTGTGTCAGATAGATGATGATGACAACGACGACGATGATGATGATAAACTTTATTTGTATTCTGCCCTATCTCCCCAGGGAGACTCAGGACAGATTCCAACATTCAAAAGGCAAACATTCAATGTCTCAATAAAACAAACAAATGTTAATGAGTAATCCAAAATAACGCCACATATGAAAATAACATCAGAACCTAAAATCAATAAATTAAACAAAATATTCAATTAAATTTATATAATGACATAAAACTTGAACATTGTACCAACTGGTGTTTTCCCCTCTCTTTGAAACCTTAGAAGTGATGGGTGTTAGAGTAGCTCATACCCAGTTCTTGATTATTAAGAAATGCAGTTATTTCTTGTTATTGTAAATAAACCTTTTATGATTTTAAAGATTGGACTCTGCATCTTTGCCTGTCTTAATTCTTAATTAATTAATTGTCTTAATTCTTTACAGCCACATCACATCGCTCTGCTCACTAATGAGCTGATGCTCAACTTTTGTGTCCTGTGTTTGATTTTTGGAAGCTCTGCTATATTTTAGGGTAGTTTTCATTTGTGTTAGTTCCCTAACACAAATGAAGTTTCTGTTTAATCTTCAATGGTAAATTCAAATAAAAGTATGATTTTTTTTGTCTTAATATGTATTATTACATATGTTCTTGGAAACTGATAGTTAAGAGTTATAGCATGGTGAGGCACCAGCACTCTTTGGCAGATAATGCTAAAGACCTTATAAAACGACAGCATCCATGAGTCCACAGGACTGAGCTCTGGCATTTAAAGTGCAGTCAAACTGCATCCATTCTTCAGTGTAGATGCACCCATGGAGGACAGAGTTCTATGATCCACTGAACCTGTTCCATTTTTTTACCCTCCAAATTGCCCTGCTGTCCCACTTCCAGTAGTTACATAACAGTATACTGCTAACTGAATCATTCTATACACCAAATAGAGGGAGGCACCATCTTATCCTATGCTTTAGACAGAAAAAATATCTGTTGCTAGTCCGGATCACATGGTAGCTGCTTCACTCTTTGTGCCCAGCAGTTACCAAACCTCCATTATACAAAATAAGTGGTCCAGACAGATTCAGAATGTATTTCTATCCGCAGTGAATCAGTAAAGAGTCACCAATTGAGACATTGTGGGTGGGCAGGGAGAACAGTCAGATTAGAGCACATTATTCCCAGACAGAGCTGAGCCCAAGCATCTCTGCTGTAAAGTAAATGCTGCTCCCATGTGTACCTGGGATTTGGTGTGGCTCAGCCACCCACAGTGGCATTCAAAAGTGGGGAAAGAATCCACAGAACCCATAATTTCTAACATTTCCCTAGTTAAATTTAACACAACATTTACTTTATGACTCTTGCATCTATGAGTTACATAAGACTGATTCAGCTCTCTGAGGGATGCCTAATTCGGTTGCTATGCCACACTTCATATATTATTCCCAGCATTTTAATCAATTAGCTTTTGTGATTCATGAAGATTCCAGCAAATATTAAAGCTTTTCTGGTTGTATTGAATCTGCAGCAGCCCAGTCATAAGCCAAATATTTCTTCCATTAAAATGCACTATTAATAAGAGTTGATTTCAATGAGGAAGCTGTAAGTGTTAATATCTAAAGAAAGCAGACAAAATGGTTTGAGCATTGGACTATGAATCTGGAGACCAGAGTTTGATTACCTGCTCAGCCATGGAAACCTACTTGGTGGCCTTGGGCAAGTCATACACTCTCAACCCTAAAAACCTCATGATACTGTCATAGTCCAAAAGCAAAAGTGCAGTCTATAGCATTATCAATAGGTAGTCAGAAATAAATTGAAGGCACACAACAACAGCAACAACAACAACAACAACAACAACAACAACAACAACAAACTTGAGCAGGTAGCAAACATTATTTCAACAATGTTAATTATTCAATTTTAATTAACTTCATCTGTATTGTGTGTGAATGTGTCACTCACTCACTTGGGTTGAAGCAGTGTGATACACACACCGATATATTTTTCACACAATGAAACCTAGCCTCTTTTCTGTTTTACAAGAAGGTAAAACAAAGAGGCTTCATGCAGCTCAGCCAATTTCCTGCTACACAGGACAACCCATACTTATCTACACTGCTGGAGTTTGCAGCCAACCTGTTCTGACAAAGCTTTTCAATTGCAGACCAATAAAGCTGAAAAAGAATGATTTTTTGTGTATATTTGTTCTTTGGCCACATAGAAAGAACATTCTGTCCTCAGTACAGAGTGTTAGAGTGCTTGTGCCTCACCAAACTACAACTCCTGTGATTCCATAGCATTAAGCCATGACAGTTGAAGTAGTGTCAAGCTTTATTAATTTCTACAGTAAAAGCAGTAAAAAAAAAGTAGGAAATACTGTCTTAAAGACCAAGACTATCCTGAGCCTATTCAATCATGTTTTAATGTTTCTTAAGTAAGGTGTGTGCAACTGGATCCTGACCAGCTTGAGTTCAAATTTCACCTCAAACATGAACTCTCTCTATGCAATCTTATCTAAACCACTCTCTTTCAGTTCTGTCCCTGCCCACTCCCTCCCCTGTGGCATAATACAAGGTTAATATATAATAAGGACATAAAAATACCAATCTACTTTATGGGACTGTTGTAAAGTGACTGAAAAAAAGTGAAGTACAATTGTACTTTTTGGAACATTTTTCTGAATGTTCAAAGTCTTTAATAAGCATGATCATCATCATCATGAGATACTCGCAGGAACACTTCTGCTAGCGAGACTCCAAAAGTGGCAGGCAAAAACTCAGAACCTCAATCAGTGGCTGATACCAGATGAGAGACTCCTTCCTGGGCACACAGAAGATGGGCGACTTGGAAGACACTGAACAGATTGCACTCTGGCACTATGAGATGCAGAGCCAACCTTAAGAAATGGGGCTACAAAGTGGAGTCCACGACATGTGAGTGTGGAGAAGAGCAAACCATAGTCCACCAACTACAATGCAGCCTGAGCCCTGCCACATGCCCAATGAAGGCCCTTCTCACAGTGGCCAGCTACTGGTCAAAGGACATTTAGCATAATGACAAGTTTTTAACTTTGTTTGTGTTTTTAAATACATTATAATTGTACCTTCAATTCACTTCTGACGCGATAAATAAATCATCATCATCACTTATATTAATACAACAGCATGATTTTATTTATTTATTTATTTATTTATTTATCGTGTCGTCAGCAACCATACCATTGTATTACATTTCTAACAGAACAAAACAAACAAACAGATTTAAAAAACACAGATTTTGCAAACTTGGTAGTTGATTAAATGTCCTTTGACCAGTATCTGGCCACTTGGAGTGCCTCTGGTGTTGCCGCGAGAAGGTCCTCCATTGTGCATGTGGCAGGGCTCAGGGTGCATTGCAGCAAGTGGTCTGTGGTTTGCTCTTCTCTGCACTCGCATGCCGTGGATTCCACCCTGTAGCCCCATTTCTTAAGATTGGGTCTGCATCTTGTGGCGCCAGCACGATTAAAATAGCATGATTAAAATAGCTAACAACAAAAGGAAACTAAAGCAAGTACATACTTATTACTGAGCTCTCTTATGTCAGATGGTTTAAATCCCCACTTCTTTGCCAGTTTCTCTTGTTCATCAGCAGGTTCCAAAAATGCAATCTGAAGAAGGTAAAAAAGATAAGTTATACATATGACTATGTGCAAATATTTCACATTTATGTTAGAGTCACTTTCTGTAAACAAGTTTTATGTAAACTAGATCATTTTGGTGATGCTTGGTATTCTAAAGCTTATAGATAGTAAAACTAGCCACCACTATTACAACACTGGCATCACCACATATTCCATACCTCAAAATACAACAAAATCCACTAAAAAGCACAAAATATACAGTGCAAGCTTTCAAAGCTTTGCCAACTTCTTCATTAGAAAATGATATTGAGCATTCTAGCATATTTGTCTGATGAAAAAGCCAGTGAAGCTTTGACAACTTGCATGATATATTTTGTTTTAATCTTTCTCACTGTTTGTAGATTTTGGATTTAGTTATACCCCTTACTAGTAACAAAGACAAAACTAAATTATAGCTTATGATGGCCTCAGAAAAGTACAGTCACTACGTAAACAGTGTTAGATCAGTACTGATATTGCAAGAAATCCTCTCCATCATTTAAGCATTCCTATATTGCCTATTTCGGTTATGCACCTATTTTTAATATCCACTACAGTTCAGCACAGGAGTTACATCAGGCACCTGCAAACTTTGGCCTTCCAGGAGTTTGGGACTCCAACTCCCATAATTCCTAACAGTTGGTAAGCTGGGTGGGATTTCTAGGAGTTGAAATCCAAAACACCTGGAGGGCCAAAGTTTGCCCATGCTTGAGTTACATGCTTCTGCATTTTCCTCAGATTAAGAACAACTCCAAGACATAAAGACTTATATGTCATCAACTATCTCTGAATGAAAATAATTTGAAACAGTCTGAAGCAAGGATTTGGAGTGACCTTGGACAGCGTTTTTGTGTTTCACTTTTAAATGAAGGTTTGAACTGTCCCCAGACTGTCTATAAATGGTAGAACATCAGTGAGGGATATAGCTTTGTGACTGGCAATTTTAGCTTCCAATTAAGGAAGAACTTTATCTAGTCTTTACTATCACCATGAGTTAAGAAGGGAGATGGATGGAGCACAGTAGTGTGTATATAAATTAATACGAATTAATTCTTTGCATAAAGTATGCATGCTGTGAGGAGGACCTGGAACATTTTATTCAGTAATTTCCAGAGTTATTAATACATTCCTAGGTTTTTGTGGGACTATATATGTTTTGTGTCTGTAGTCTTTATTGTACATAGTAGGGTAACTGTTCACACAGAGAGTATATAAAGCACTTAATTTATTTCATCTCCATTTATTTTATCTTCATCCATCCCATCAACTTTCAGTTACTTGGCGGGGGTGTTCATCCTTGCCCCCTGTAAATTTTCTTCTTGTTTTACAAAGAGTTCACCAACAAAGTCCATATATATTGCATGTCAGGTTCATGTAAATTACTTCCCAATTCACAAATAAGCATGGTGTCGCCACTCCTTTTAAAAACTTCAAACACTGACAGAATCTAGCTCACTGCAATTGTTTCCACACAGTTTGGAAGGCCAAAAATGAGTCCAGAAGAGAGATGACATCGTTTCTGGATACATCAGATGCACATATGTAGCCCCTGACATGGGTGCAGGACAGAAAATTGCCCCCACCCTTATCATACATGCCTACCATTGGAATACAGTTACAACTTTCTTATGTCCCACTATTTTTACAATGAAACTTCTCTAAGTCAGGAGTGACTAGAGAAACTGTAAGTCACTTCTAGTGTGAGATAATTGGCTGTCTGCAAGGATGTTGCCCAGAGGTTGCCCAGATGTTATTGATGTTTTACCATCCCTGTGGGAGGCTTCTCTCATGTCTCAGTACGGGGAGCTGGAGCTGACAAAGGGAGCTCATAAGCACTCTCCCCAGATTCGAATCTCTAACCTGTCAGTTTTCAGTCCCGGCATCATAAGGGTTTAACCCACTGTGCCACTGGAGGCTCCATACAATGTACATGTACCCATCATTTCTTTGCTCCAAATCACACCCATGCTAGCAGCTTATTCTTTTGCAGAGTACTCCTTTTTGTTGTTTATTCATTCAGTCACTTCTGACTCATCATGACCTCATGGACCACTTCAGAGCTTCCTGTCAGCCACCCCCAGCTCCTTCAAGGTCAAGCCAGACACTTCAAGGATAACATTTATTTATTTATTTATTTATCTCTGTCATCTTTCTCACTGCTGCTTCATTGCTCTGTCCCGAAAGCTTGGTCCCACAACCAAGTTTTTACCATCCTTCTAAAGGACAAGAGAGAGGGGGCCGATCTGGTTTCACCAGGAAGGGAGTTCCATAGTCGGGGAGCAATCATCGAGAAGGCCCTGTCCCTCATCCCCACCAATTGTGCCTGTGATAATGGCGGGATGGAAAGCAGGGCCTCCCCGGAGGATCTTAATCTCTGTGATGGTTCATAGGAGGAGATCCGTTCAGACAGGTAATTTGGGCCGGGGCTGTTTAGGACTTTATAGGCCAAAGCCAGCACTTTGAATTGTGTCCAGTAGCAATCTGGCAGCCAATAGAGCTGGTGTAACATGGGAGTTGTATGCTCCCTGTATGCCGCCCCAGTTATTAATCTGGCTGCCTCTTGTTGGACTATTTGAAGCTTCCGAGCAGTCTTCAAAGGCAACTCCATGTAGAGTGCGTTGCAGTAGTCTATCCTAGATGTAACAAGAGCGTGGACCACCCATCTTGCCCTTGATTGGCCCCTCTTCCCTTTTCCTTCCATTTTCCCCAGCATCATTATTTTCTCCAAGCTTTCCTGTCTTCTCATTATGTGGCCAAAGTACACTTATGCACACACATTTGGAATCCTGTTGGAAAAAACTCTTAATTCTACAATGTAAATGAATCCAACATCTGGATACTACTTGTTAAACTAAAAGAGACCTCATCTTTAGAAGAGGCTGAGTCTCTGCCTTATGTTCACATGCAAAAAGCTGACTTTAAATATCATTTCATAATATGCAGATATATTTACATATAAGTAAGTAGATTCCAAATTTCATAGTCCTTATTTGGTTAACAGCTCCAACTCTGATGTTTTCTCAAGATAATGAGTTTCCACTATGCTTCCCTTTGTAATCTTTGACTCACTAAAATTGCAAAAACATCCATACATCCATTATACACAAGGGCTCAAGTTTCACTGAACACAGAGAAGCTTACTAATGAATAGATGGAAATTGCAAGGAGCTGATAAAACTTATTCCCAGGTACAGGACTGTGGCCTAAATCTTGATTCCATGTAATTAAATGTTTCCTGGTGTCTTGTGTAGCATTAAAATGTAAATATGTGTTCCTGATCAGAATAAACAGAAATGATGGACTTGCCTGTTAACATTTCAGATTAAGTACAAATTCAGTTTGATTTATTATTATGATTACTGTTATTATTGCTATATTTTGAGTATGTATCGCAACACTATCCAATTCCTTAACAGAGGCATATGCTTGATAACCCAGATTTTCCAATGAGGAAAAGAAATGCCAATGAGAAACCAAAGTCAAACTGTAAAGAGAATGACTAAGACTGCTTAGGAAATACAAACTAGCTCACTAGAATTAAGTGAAAAGAAGACAAACATGTCACACAACACCAGATGGTTAGTGTTGAAAGCAAACTTGTTGTCATGGAAGATGAGATGCCTATATAATATTCATAGCTAGGCCTTTTGAAATAACTCTGTTCTCAAGTACAAAATGCAACAGCATATCCTTCATAGAAACGTCATTTTAGGACAAAAAGGCAATGTTTAGCAGCAAAAGGAGTAACTAAAAATAAACTGTAAAAGGCTTGGCCGCAATCAATTTGAGATTCCATCATTCTTTTGAACACCATTCCTTCTTAATTAATATTCTACCAAATAGAAAGATGAAGAAGGGGTCAGTCTGTAGTGTATGGCCAGCACCCCTTGATTTCTGGATCATCTGGTACCTCATAACTGCAAGGCTGACCTGACTCCATAAAAAATTGTGTAATGTCTGAACCATCTGCGATGCTTGTGGGTTTGAACTAACCCAAAGATTGCCAAACTTCAGGTCATCAGCCAGATCATCTGGCATGCTTTTCCAAGAACAGAAATCAATGATGAACTATTTGGCATACTTACATCTTATGGGCACAAACAGAAACTTGCCTCAAATTGAGGAAACAGAGATGGGGCTGGGAAAACATGGGCCTTAAGGTATGCACCTTGCAGAGCTGCAAGTTAAATAAGCAGCTGATTGGGGGGGGGGGGGTGAAAAAGTCCAGCCTTTAAAAGAGCCATGAAGAAAAAATGTTGGAGTCAGATAATAATAATAATAATAATAATAATAATAATAATAATAATAATAGCCCCTGGTGGTGAAGCGGGTTAAACCGCTGAGCTGCTGAATTTGCTAATCAAAAGGTCGAATTTGGGGAGTAGGGTGAGCTCCCACTGTTAGCCCCAGCTTCTGCCAAACCTAGCAGTTTGAAAACATGCAAATGTGAATAGAACAATAGGTACCGCTCTGGCAGGAAGGTAATGGTGCCACATGCAGTCATGCCGGCCACATGATCTTGGTGGTGTCTATGGACAACGCCAGCTCTTCGGCTTAGAAATGGAGATGAGCACCAACCCCCAGAGTCAGACATGACTAGACTAGAATGTCAAGGGGAATCCTTTACCTTTTACTTAATAATAATAATAATAATAATAATAATAATAATAATAATAACTTTATTTCTATTTTGCCCTATCTTCCCAAAGGGACTCAGGGCAGATTTCAAAATACAGTGGCATACATTCAATGCCTTCATTAAACAGACAGACAACAACATAAAATCCCAGATAAACCCCACATATGAAAGTAGCATTAAAAACCTAACATCAAATTAAACCTAGTATCAGTGAGTTAAACATAATAGAAGATGGAAACATAACATGAGATGGAAAATATAGGTATGTTCTTTTTATTTACTTATTTAATTTTTTGAGCAGTTGTTATAATTTGTTGTAGATGTTTTATTCATGTTTTATTCATTGGGC